GGGCGGGGGGGGGCGCAGGAGAACATGTCCAGGTCTTCTTCGTCGGGGGCGGCTTCCCTGCTGCTGCTGCTGCGATCTGCTGCTGCTGCTGCTGCTGCTGCTGCTGCTGCTGCTGCGGGGGGAGGGGGGTCTTCTGCTGCTGCTGCTGCTGCGCGCTCGTGCTCCTCCCGCATGCGGATTATGAAGTTCCGCAGCTTCAGCTTCTGCTCCCCCACCATCTTCTGCAGCTCCGACATGTCCAGCCCCTTCCCGCCTTCTGCTGCTGCTGCTGCTGCTGCTGCTGCTGCTGCTGCTGCTGCTGAGGAAGAGGAGGAGCTTCCGGGACTTTGCTGCTGCCCGTCCTCGCAGCTGTCCCCACCTGCTGCTGCTGCTGCTGCTGCTGCTGCTGCTGCGTCCTCGGCGTCCGACTCGCTTTCCGGCGAAGACCCGCCGCAGCAACCCGGAGACCCCGGAGACAACCCTGCTGCTGCTGCTGCTGCTGCAGCAGCAGCAGCAGCAGCAGCAGGGTCCTCATCCTCTGCTGCTGCTGCTGCGGACGAAGAAGAGGGCTCCGACAAAGACACAGACACGCCGCGACTCCCAGCCTCCTGAAACAAACAAACAAACAAACAAACCCTACTAAACCCTAAACCCTAAACCCTAAACCCTAAACCCTAAACAAAAAAACCCTCGTAAACCCTGATAAACCCTCACGTCTGTGGCGCGCTGCTGCGGAGTGTCGCCTCCGGAGGCGGGCCGGCTCTGCTGCGAGCCATCTGCTGCAGCTGCTGCTGCTGGCGGGTCCCCGCTGCTGCTGCTGCTGCTGCTGCTGCTGCTGCTGCTGCTGCTGCTGCTGATTTTGGCGAGAAGTGCTGCGCGTCTCCTCCTGCGTTCCTCGAGGAAGCGGCGGTCTCTTTCTTCGTCGGAGAGAAAAGTGTCTCCTTCCAGCGCCAAGTCCTCGAGAGTCTCCTTCTCTGCTGCTGCTGCTGCTGCTGCTGCTGCTGCTGCTGCGCTGCTGCTGCTGCTGCTGCTGCTGCTGCTGCGCTGCTGCTGCTGCTCCGGTTCTCTTTCGCGGAAGGAGAAAGAGTCCCTTTCTCGCCGGCGGTAGTGCCTGTCTCTGGAGTTGTTGTTGTCTTTTAAATGGTTTATTTCTTTTAAATGGTTTATTTCTTTTAAATGATTTATTTCTTTTTCTTTTTTTATTTCTTTTATTTTATTTATTTCCTTCATTTTATTCATTTCCTTCACTTCCCGCTCCCGACGGTCCCGCCGCTTCCCCCGCAAACTGTCCCGGCTGCTGCTCCGGTGCGCCCGCTTCCGCGAACAGCCTGCACAAAACCCTAAACCCTAAACCCTAAACCCTAAACCCTAAACCCTAAACCCTAAACCCTAAACAGCCGAGAGCCTCCCTCCAACCCCAACAAAGCGGCTGCACCCCAAACCCTCCTCGACGGCCCCGTCCCGACGCACCCCAAACCCTAAACCCTAAACCCTAAACCCTAAACCCTAAACCCTAAACCCTCACTGTCTCTCTCTCTGTCTCTGTCTCTGTCCCTGTCTCTGTCTCTGTCTCTATCTCTGTCTCTGTCTCTGTCGCGTTCATCAGCGCCGTCTGTCCTCCGCCTAGAACTCGAGCGGTCTCTCTGCACATCCAAAAACACCCCAAACCCTAAACCCTAAACCCTAAACCCTAAACCCTAAACCCTAAACCCTAAACCCTAGACCCTGGTGCTCACCTCGTCCCGCGCCATCTCTCCCCCGTCTGGGCTCCGCACAAGCCTCAAACCCTAAACCCTAAACCCTAAACCCTAGAGGAGCCGCAAAGCGCGGGTTTGGGGGAGCAGCAGCCCGCAGAGCTGAGAAGGCAGCAAAAGGCGCGGGCCGAAGGGTTTGACGGGGCCCGGAAACCCTAAACCCTAAACCCTAAACCCTAAACCCCCGAGCCTCGCGAGCGGCCGAGAGGCAGCCCTGCCGGGCGCGCGGGGCTCCCTGCAGATCTGCGGCCCCTGGGGCCTCCGCAAGAGTTCTTTGCAAACTTTAAAGTCCAAAATGCAAAAAGAAATGATTTAAAAGGAGTGGCGGGTTCGCGAGAGCTGCAGGCCGCGGCGCGAGCTGTCTATACACCCCAACAGATGCCTGCGCAGCCGCCGCAGACGCCGACGCAGCTGCAACCATGGGCCGATTGGGGGCTTTTTTCCCTTTTTTTTCCGCAAATGGAAGCAAAAACAAAAAGCAAATGCAAAAGGCCAGGCAATTCGCAAAAAGAATCTCCAAAAACTTTGATTTTCCACCCCGAACGCATGCACCCGCCGCCAGCCCCGGAGGCTGCAGCTGCGCGCTCAGCTGTCTGTACACCCCAACTTCCGCTTCCAAACTCCCGCAATTCTTTCGACTTTTTCTCTTTTTCCACTTTTATTTTCTTCATTTCCCAATTTCATGCAATTTTCTCCGAAAAAAACCCAAAAACTCGAAGAACAAGCGAACTTTCACACCCTAACCCCAAACTCTAACCTCGAAGCCCTAAACCCCAAACTCTAAGCCCTAAACCCTAAACCCTAAACCCTAAACCCTAGATCGGCTTTTCAGGCGCTTGCTGAGACCTCTAAAACGCATGCGCGGCTCCTTTTGAACGAACAACATGGGGCCTCTTACGTGCAGCGGCGCTGGCCATTTTGAAGCTAGGGTTTAGGGTTTAGCGCTGGCTAGGGTTTAGGGTTTAGCGTAGGCTGCTAGGGGCTAGGGTTTAGCGTAGGCTAGGGTTTAGGGTTTAGCGTGGGCTACGGTTGAAGCACAATTGATGGAAAAGATGAAATTGAGTTCAAGCTAAATAGTCGAGGGTTTGGGGTTTAGCCACAAACCCTGAAAACACCCGTCTCTAGACATCGAGAGGGTTTAGGGTTTAGGGTTTAGGGTTTAGGGTTTGCCTTTGGGGGCGAAGGGCACGCAGCGCGCCGACTGTCGTTGTCCAGGTGTCTGTACAGCGCAGCAGCCGCAGAGCGCTTTCTTTAAAAGAAGAAAACCCAAACTGCATCTAGGGTTTAGGGTTTAGGGTTTAGGGTTTAGGGTTTGCCCTCGAGAGAAAGAGAAACCACAAAGACCCTTGCTTTATCTCCACCCTTTGCCTGCACTTCGGCCCGACTGAGGGTTTAGGGTTTAGGGTTTGGAGCAGGGTTTAGGGCAGGGTTTAGGGTTGGGGTAGGGTTTGGGACTCGGGCTAGGGTTTAGGGTTTAGGGTTTAGGGTTTAGGGTTTGGGCGGACCAGCGGGTACTTGTGGCTGAGCAGCGGCAGCCTGCAAATGAAACCCTGCACCAAAGTCCTGTTGCTGCTGCTTTTTAAAACTTTTTTTATTTTCTTTTTTTTGTTTTCTTTTGCTGCTGTCGGCGCAGCAAACAGCACCGGCTGCAGTGTACATACACCCCAACACGCACAGCTTTCGGCACTCAGCAGCAGCAGCAGCAGCAAGTGCAGCAGCAGCAGCAGCAGCAGCAAGTGCAGCAGCAGCAGCACAACAGCAAGAGCAGCAGCAGCAGCAGCAGCAGCAGCTGCAGCGGGCGGCGTCGATTACTTGGCAATAAAACGCCGAATTATGAATTAAAAATAAACAAATATTAATTAAAATTAATTAATTAAAATTAATTAATTAATTAATTAATTAATTAATTAATTAATTAATTAATTAATTAATTAATTAATTAATTAATTAATTATCACCTCCCCGTGTTTGGCAAACTCGTGCAGCAGCAGCGCCTGCCCCACGCGGCAGCGAAGTGTGGGGCTCCAGGAGACACAAGACACAAACCCTAAGGGTCTCTTTTCCAAAAGAGACAAAACTGTGCTGCCCCGCAGCGGGAACTTCAAGTTGCTGCTGCTGCTGCTGCTGCTGCTGCTGCTGCTGCTGCTGCTGCTGCTGCTGCTGCTGCTGGTGCTGCGGGCGTCGCAAATGGCGAAAAAACGGTCGCACGCGGCCTCCTGCTGCTGCTGCTGCTGCTGCAGCTGCTCCTCTTCCTGCTGCTGCTGCTCTCCCTGCTGCTGCTGCTGCTGCTGCTGCTGCTGCTGCTGCTGCTGCTCGTGCTGCCTGAGGAGGCGAAGGGCCCTGCGGAGCCTGCTGCTGCTGCCAGCCACGAAGGCCACTCTGCGGGCGGCGGGGGGCCCCGCCAGCTGCTTGCTGAGCTGGGGGGCCCCCAGCAGCAGCTGCTGCTGCACTTTGTAGGTACTAATTAGCCGCCCCAAACCTCCTGCTGCAGCACAACGGGGGGCCCCCAACTCCGGCCCCACACCCCCCACTCCAGACTCTATTTGCAGCATTTCCAGTGCCACTTGGCACCCCAAATAGGGGGCCCCTACCCACCCATTTGCGTCCACGCGGGGGCCCCCCAGGGGGCCCCCTAGGGGGGCCCCCCAGGAGCCGTTGGGGGGCCCCCCCGGGGGCCCCCCGGGGGCGCCCCCTAGGGGGCCCCCTGCAGGCTCCAAAGCCGGGGGCCCCAGGGGGGCCCCCATGGGGGCCCCCATGGGGGCCCCCAAGGGGGCCCCTTGGGGTGCATGCAGGCTCAGAGAGTCGTCCAGCAGCAGCCTAAAGATAAACACAAAAAGGAAAACAAATTTAGGGTTTAGGGTTTTGTTTAAGCCTCTCTAAGGGGGCCCCAGGGGTCCCGGGGGCCCCCAAAAAAGACTCCCAAAAGGGGGACTCCGGGGGGCCCCTGGGGGCCCCCAAAAGGGTACAGTGGACCCCAGGGGGGCCCCCGGGGCCCCCAGGGTGCCCCCTGAAGGGCCCCAGGTTGAATGTATGGCTGGTCGGAGATTCTTGGGGCCAAGGATTAAGAGCTTAGGGTTTAGGGTTTAGGGTTTAGGGTTTAGGGTTTACCTGATAAGGGCTTCTGCTGCAGGGGCCTCAGCAGCAAACTCGATGCCGTCTTCCCCTGTGGGGCCCCCGCGGACGCAGCTAATGCAGTACTCCTTGCTGCTGCTGCTGCTGCTGCTGCTGCTGCTGCTGTTGCTGCTGCTGCAAACAAACCCCACAACG